AGCTCATAGAGAGTGTACAATTATCTACCTAAATACCTTTAATACATATATTCAGAACACTTTTTTCCCCCGCTCTGCTCTGGTTTGATCTGAGGGGAGAAAACCTCTGAAAATTAAACTGCTTTTGCTGTTCTAGCTTGTTCCGTGAGTTTTTGGTTTATTTTTTTGGTTTATTGGATTGCATTTCATTTCTTGGCGACTTCTTGGCGGTCTTCTGGTATTTTCTTCTTGTGCTATTTTGTTTTTTTTATACCCGTACTTAAAAAGAGTTAAGGGACAACTAGATTCGTGGTAAAAGTGGATGTGTGTAACGCAGAGAAGGAAACGTTTCGACCCATAAAGTATATTCCTGATCAGCATCAATAGCCGAGTCGATAGAGCCATGTCTGTCTGTCCGTCTGTCTGTCTGTCTGTCCGTCTTGATGAGCCCTAGTCTAGAGACTATAAAAGCTAGGGACACAATTTGGTAGTCTGGAAACTCTTGTGATATCACACTGCTACAAGTGTATTCCAAAATTTGCTCGCCCCTTCCGCCCACACAAAGGACGGAAAATCTGTGGCAGGCAGCATAGTTAAATTTAGACTAAAAACCGTATCGTAGAGAATGCCCATACTACTAAATTGCCGAATCTGAATCAGATCGGATCATAATTATAGCCAGAATGAAGAAATTTTCAGTTGCTTCCCCTCCCCTCCCAATCATGACAACACAACTCATTTTCCCTCTCGCTCGCACACTCTGCCGCGTTCAGTGCGGAGCAACCTAAAAGGAGAAGATAGAATAGAATATAGAATATGAATGGAACATGTACAATATTACATGTTAGATGTAAGAATATACATTGTATATGTAGATGTAGATATCATATATAAAAAAATGTAAAATGTAAAATTTTTTTTTTCTAAAATTCTTTAAAATGGTAAGCTCAATAATGTATATACTGACTGAGTACGGGTATTAGTGAGAGTCGCGTCCCCAGAGGGGACTCCACGTTCTCTCGTTTTATTTATATTTATTTGCACTTTTATCTCAATTGTTTTATTTACGTTTATTTATATTTACCTATATTTATATTCTTTTATTTTCAAATATGTAGTTGGGTATTATTAATGTTTTAGTTGGAAAAAATTTTATAATTTTTTTTTTATAAAAAAAACATTTGACATTGGGTGAATCCCCATCCCTAGAAGAGAGTTGCCTAAGAAGGGGCCATTCGGATGTGGGCCAGGGGGCAGAATGGCCAACGGTAGGGTGGGCATGTTACGCCTCATCAACACCTGAGCGGTAGAAGAACCAGCAGGTGCAGCGGAATAGTTCCATTCCCTTTAGTATGTTTGTTGGTCGGAAGTAAGTGGGATTCTCTATTCCGGTTTTCGCTTGTTCCTGGCAGGCAACTTATTTAGAATATTATAGTGAAGAAAGGCCAATCATGGGAGTGGAGCAAACCACCACCCTCCTAGCCGACGAGCCTGAGCCGGAATATACAGCGTTCTCCTCTCTCCCATGCCCAACACCGCGCCTGAGAATAATGAGTTGGAATGCATTTGTTACAGTAGGCAGAGGGTGTAGTCCATTTCCGATTCCCTAGCCCACTAATTTGCTTACAATGATGAGGCACGCACCATTGACGGCCTTGTCACCAAGCTGCCCATAAGCAGCCCTTCAAGCGAGCAGCCGCCTCGCGCCGTACAGGTCGAATATACTGATCTTCGCAGCAGCGTCGATGAGCCCCTCGTTCCCGGGCATGCCACTCCGCTCGGGAAAAAGCTAGGGACGGGAAAGGTGCGCACTCGTTCAGTCCCACGCACCATTGACGGACCAATTGAAGGAACCAGTAACGGACAAACTGGCGGAACCAGTAACGGACAAACTGAAGGACCCCTAATCGTGTAAGCCTCGCTCCCCGAGGCTGAGCAGGAGAACTGCGATGGTGAAACTGAACCACGCAGTCACCGGGGCTGACTTATCTCCAAATTTAATTTTGTGTTCATTAGTTATAATTTACAATCAATATAAATAAAATTTACAATGTAATCCATGTAGCACATGGAACACCATTAATTCCGTTAAAAAAACGAATCAACAAGAAGGAAGAGGGTGTGAAGAGCGAAACAATATTTTGAATATTTCAAAAATAAATAAAATGAATAATTGTGTAAATAATAAATAATAATAAGATTGTGGAGGTCCTATTTCAGGCTGAGGTAAGCATCAGCCTGTAGGGTCCTCTACAACAATTTTGTAGATCGCAGGTGACTTTCAGGTTTGGGGGAGCGGCCTTGTCTGACCGAAAGAGAGGGAGACACAGGAGAGCGTTTTGTTGCTGACAAAAATACTTCAAGAAGATCGTGGTTTTTGGTTTTGCTGGTGTTTATTATTTTTATTACTTAATTCTTTGTGGGTTTGTGTACGATGGATTACTTGGATTGTTACTTTGCCTTGGAGCCGTTGGACTGGGGGTGCAGTGTCTTGTGTTTTGGCTGAGGGACTGCCTAGTGCAGTGTCTTGGGTGTGTGACTGAGGGACTGCGTAGTACAGTGTCTTGGGTGTGTGACTGAGGGACTGCCTTGTGCAGTGTCTGTGTTTGGGCTGATGGACTGCCTAGTACAGTGTCTTGGGGTGTGTGACTGAGGGACTGCCTTGTGCAGTGTCTTGGGTGTGTGACTGAGGGACTGCCTTGTGCAGTGTCTTGGGTGTGTGACTGAGGGACTGCGTAGCACAGTGTCTTGTATTCGGGCTGATGGACTGCCTACTCTTTCAGCCGATCTTGGCCCTTTTATGCAGCTGGCGATAGCACCTGAGACCCGGAAATAATTAATTCTTGCTGACTTAAGGTTATTGGATAACAATAATTGTGGAGCGTGGTAAGTGGGTCGGAGCTTTGTGCTTCGTTGACAATTGTTAGTGGGTCAGGGTGGTTTTGCTAGAGGCTGCATCCCGGAAGGTGCGGGCTGCAGTTGGGTAAGGTGATATCTGAATTTGGGTCGGTAGGTCGATAATTTTATGCTAGCTTGACCTATTGTGAAATAACGCCAATGATATCTCTCATTGCGAAATTGTGTCGGCTTGGCTTATTGTAGGCTGCTGATTTCACAATTGTCTCAAGAGGTGGGGTGTTGTTGATCGGGAGTTCTTAATTAATTGTGGCTTAAGACCATTTTGGGTCTGACACACGCTATTTGTGGAGAACCGTGGGGAGCCATGGTTCGCTAGTCGGTGTATATCAGTTTGGTTATTGTCTCCCGCCAGCGTGGATGCGCTGACCCTTCGCCGTTTGTGACGAGCCATGGCTAAGAACCATGGTTCGTTACACCCCCCCCTTTCTGCCGGGTGGGTGATGGAGAGATTAGTGGCGTCGCTTGGCGGGTGCTGAGGATCGCCTTTTTACCGGGTTATCCTGTCCTTGGGCTTTTGCCGAGTCTTCGGATTCGTCGGTGTTAATCTCGTCACTTTATTGGCGTCGGTAACGTTATATTTTCTACTGCTGCTGTGATCATGGCCTTTCTGCTGTTCTGGGTGCTTTGTAGTTGGTGTCTGCTTGGTGGGTCGATTATCCCATATGACGATGGTTTTCTCGGCGGTTTTCTTCGGTAGTTCCTTGTCCAGGAACGTGAAATTATGTAATAAGGTCACTTTTTCATTTTCTTTGCGTACCTTATCCAGGGTTTGGTTTGTAGTTTTTGTTCTTTGCAGCCACAACACTTTTCAAATGGTTTTTATTGGGTTTATGTTCCCTTTTATGGTTTTGCAGAATTTTCACCACGTTTTTCTTTTTATATGTTCTGTACGCACATTAATTAAGTCTTCCAACTTTGAATGCACTTTTGTTCTGTGCAGCATGCACTTAGCCTAACTATTTTACCCCTCCAAAAGCTGGGTATGAGAAAGCTAAGAAGGTTCTCGAAGGGCTAGCCGTAAGCTATGCTTGCGGAGAGAAAAGCTCACATGTGAACGGCGCTCGCATGTGCAATTTCGAAGAGAGAGCTTTTCAAGATAAAAGCTTCTGATCTTGCATTTGGGCTCTCTATGGAATGCATGTACAGTGGGGAAGGTTCAATATTTTTGCGATAAAATAAGAAGACTGTTCCCAAAAAAAATTCTTAATACAATTTTTGTCCAGACATTCTAAATTTTGTATTTTTGGTCTGCAACCTTCACAACACATAAAATTTATAGATCTTGGCCACGTAACGAGGGGCAATCCGCATCCGGAATGCACAGGGCAATGCTCATCCCGACGAACAGGAATACCTGCACTGTTGCCACCAGGATTTTCTTTAGCATGCCCGACTCTGATTTGTCCACTCGCGGTGCCGCTCTGACCTTCGGTGGCGTTTCCTCTTCCTGGGTGCCCGCATGGCACCTGTGGGGGAAATGGGCAGCGAGGATATGGCTGCCAACAGTAGCTTTTCCACCATCGGCGTCCATTCATTCAGTGCCGCTCTGACCTTTCTGGAAGACTTTGCCCGTCCCCCGGCCAAACGTGTCGTCCACTTCTTGGCCTTGAACCGACGCCCACGGGCACTTGTCGATGGCGGTTCCTCTGTCTGCGTGCCGCATGACACCTGTGGGGGAATGGGCAGCGAGGATATGGCTGCAACCATCGGCGAAGTCCATCCATTGTCGGGAATTCCGTTTTCGGGCATTTTCGTTTCTGTTGGGTGGCCATCGGAGGTCAGGCATGTCACCATCGAGTGCGTCGACTGGGCCGAGAGGCTAGGGGGACTCAGGCAGGACTTCATCGACGGCGTTGCGGTGCGATTGAGGCTCAAGCAGGACCCCATCGACGGCGTTGCGGTAGCATCGGAGCTCAAGCAGGACAACATCGTTGACAGCTCGTTGGCGTTCGAGTAGCGGCCGATAGAGGGCTGCATAGAGGTACTGCTCCAGCTGCAGCTGCTCCAGTTATCGCTGTAGGGCTGCATAGAGGTGAAGCTATCGCATGAAGTCGTCCAGCTGCTCCAGTTATCGCTGGAGTCCACCATCATTTCATCATCACCATCATGTCCATCAGTGTAGTCCGCCGGATTCGGCGATTCCTGAGGATGAGGCGACGCCTTCTTCTTGCTTCTTCTGCTCCAGTTATCGCTGGAGTCCACCATCATTTCATCATCACCATCATGTCCATCAGTGTAGTCCGCCGGATTCGGCGATTCTGAGGATGAGGCGACGCCTTCTTGTTGGGTACTGGCCAAGCCAGTGGCGTCAATTTCTGCACTTTTTGAGGGGGGGCCTGACCACGGCTGAGTCCTGCGACGCGAGGAAGAATATTCCTCTTTGGCTGGCCAGCGGGTGGATGTGAAGCAGGTGCCGGATAGGGCGCAGCCGCAGCAGATCTGGCTGCTGCCATGGTCGGAGCTGTCCCCAGTTGCGTGACTTCGTCCGAACGTGGATGGAAATTTTGTTGAAACAATTAGATACTTTTAGATACTTAAAATTTGTAAAACGATAGAAATTTTGTTTTACGCTAATACTAAAAATACAAAAATATAAAAACAAGCGTACAGCTCCAAAGTCAGTGCTAGAATGAAATATTGCCCAGCCTCAAATCAAACGATACGAACAGAAAAGTAAATGCTAACTAGATGAAATACTTTTCCAAGCAAGTAAAACACATGCGAACTCTATTGATTTTTGTCGGTTTATGTTTTGGTAGAATTTTTTGTATTTTCTTTCAAATTGAATGCAGCAGAACGCCACACTTCTGACTTCGAAGTCTCAGCAACTTCTAATAGATACGCCTGAAGGTAATCCATTCACTGTATTTCACGCATATGCCTCAGAAAGCAGCACAGAAAAGCTCTAAAACAGCTCATAGAGAGTGTACAATTATCTACCTATAATACCTTTAATACATATATTCAGAACACTCCCCGCTCTGCTCTGCTCTGATCTGATGAGCGGAGGAAAACCTCTGAAAATTAAACTGCTTTTTGCTTGTTCCAGTGGAGGCTTTTATTTTATTTTTTTGGTTTATTGGATTGCATTTCATTTCTTGGCGACTTCTTGGCGGTCTTCTGGTATTTTCTTCTTGTGCTATTTTGCTTTTTTTATACCCGTACTTAAAAAAGAGTTAAGGGGTATATTAGATTCGTGGTAAAAGTGGATGTGTGTAACGCAGAGAAGGAAACGTTTCCGACCCCATAAAGTATATATATTCCTGATCAGCATCAATAGCCGAGTCGATAGAGCCATGTCTGTCTGTCCGTCTGTCTGTCTGTCTGTCTGTCCGTCTTGATGAAGCGCCTAATCTCAGAGACTATAAAAGCTAGGGCAACCAAATTTGGTAGTCTGGAAACTCTTGTGATATCACACTGCTACAAGTGTATTTCAAAATTTCGCCCCGCCCCCTTCCGCCCACACAAAGGACGAAAATCTGTGGCAGGCACAGTTTTAAAGATACGATAAAACTAAAAACGCAGTATCGTAGAGAATGCCCATACTTACTAGATTGCCGAATCTGAATCAGATCGGATCATAATTATAGCCAGAATGAAGAAATTTTCAGTTGCTTCCCCTCCCCCTCCCGATCATGACAACACAACTCATTTTCCTTCTCGCTCGCACACTCTGCCGCGTTCAGTGCGCGAGCAACCCCTAACGGAGGAGAATAGAATAGAATATAGAATATGAATGGAACATGTACAATCTACATGTTAGATGTAGAATATACATTGTATATGTAGATGTAGATATCATATGTAGCAAAAAAATGTAAAATGTAAAATTTTTTTTTTTCTAAAATTCTTTAAAATCATAAGCTCAATAATGTATATACTGACTGAGTACGGGTATAAGTAGAGTCGCGTCCCCAGAAGCGACTCACACGTTCCTTCTCGTTTTATTTATATTTATTTGCACTTTTATCTCAATTGTTTTATTTACGTTTATTTATATTTACCTATATTTATATTCTTTTATTTTCAAATATGTAGTTGGGTATTATTAATGTTTTAGTTCGTAAATAAATTTTATAATTTTAATTTTATAATAGTAATTTGTATTTGACATCGGCTAATCCCATGCCCTAGAAGAATTGCCCTAAGAAGGGGCCATTCGGATGTGGGCCAGGGGGCAGAATGGCCAACGGTAGGGTGGGCATGTTACGCCTCATCAACACCTGAGGTCGTAGTAGGAGAACCAGCAGGTGCAGCGGAATAGTTCCATTCCCTTTAGTATGTTTGTTGGTCGGAAGTAAGTGGGATTCTCTATTCCGGTTTTCGCTTGTTCCTAGCAGGCAACTTATTTAGAATATTATAGTGAAGAAAGGCCAATCATGGGAGTGGAGCAAGACCACCACCCTTCTAGCCGACGAGCCTGAGCCGGAATATACAGCGTTCTCCTCTCTCTGCCATGCCCAACACCGCGCCTGAGAATAATGAGTTGGAATGCATTTGTTACAGTAGGCAGAGGGTGTAGTCCATTTCCGATTCCCTAGCCCACTAATTTGCTTACAATGATGAGGCACGCACCATTGACGGCCTTGTCACCAAGCTGCCCATAAGCAGCCCTTCAAGCGAGCAGCCGCCTCGCGCCGTACAGGTCGAATATACTGATCTTCGCAGCAGCGTCGATGAGCCCCTCATCCCGGGCATGCCACTCCGCTCGGGAAAAAAGCTAGGGACGGGAAAGGTGCGCACTCGTTCAGCCCCCCACCACGGACCAATTGGCCAGTACGGACAAACTGGCGGAACCAGTAACGGACAAACTGAAGGACCCCTAATCGTGTAAGCCTCGCTCCCCGAGGCTGAGCAGGAGAACTGCGATGGTGAAACCCAAACCGACACAGTCACCGGGGCTGACTTATCTCCAAATTAAATTTTGTGTTCATTAGTTATAATTTACAATCAATATAAATAAAATTTACAATGTAATCCATGTAGCACATGGAACACCATTAATTCCGTTAAAAAAACGAATCAACAAGAAGGAAGAGGGCCGTGTGAGAGCGAAACAATATTTTGAATATTTCAAAAATAAATAAAATGAATAATTGTGTAAATAATAAATAATAATAAGATTGTGAGGTCCTATTTCAGGCTGAGGTAAGCATCAGCCTGTCCAGGGTCCTCTACAAGACAATTTGTAGATTGCAGGTGACTTTCAGGTTGGGAGCGGCCTTGTCTGACCGAAAGAGAGGTAGGACACAGGAGGAGCGTTTTGTTGCTGACAAAAATACTTCAAGAAGATCGTGGTTTTTGGTTTTGCTGGTGTTTATTATTTTTATTACTTAATTCTTTGTGGGTTTGTGTACGATGGATTACTTGCGGATCTTGTTACTTTGCCTTGGAGCCGTTGGACTGGGGGTGCAGTGTCTTGTGTTTTGGCTGAGGGACTGCCTAGTGCAGTGTCTTGGGTGTGTGACTGAGGGACTGCGTAGTACAGTGTCTTGGGTGTGTGACTGAGGGACTGCCTTGTGCAGTGTCTTGTGTTTGGGCTGATGGACTGCGTAGTACAGTGTCTTGGGTGTGTGACTGAGGGACTGCCTTGTGCAGTGTCTTGGGTGTGTGACTGAGGGACTGTGTAGTACAGTGTCTTGGGTGTGTGACTGAGGGACTGCGTAGCACAGTGTCTTGTATTCGGGCTGATGGACTGCCTACTCTTTCAGCCGATCTTGGCCCTTTTATGCAGCTGGCGATAGCACCTGAGACCCGGAAATAATTAATTCTTGCTGACTTAAGGTTATTGGATAACAATAATTGTGGAGCGCGGTAAGTGGGTCGAAGCTTTGTGCTTCGTTGACAATTGTTAGTGGGTCAGGGTGGTTTTGCTGAGGCTGCATCCCGGAAGGTGCGGGCTGCAGTTGGGTAAGGTGATATCTGAATTTGGGTCGGTAGGTCGATAATTTTATGCTAGCTTGACCTATTGTGAAATAACGCCAATGATATCTCTCATTGCGAAATTGTGTCGGCTTGGCTTATTGTAGGCTGCTGATTTCACAATTGTCTCAAGAGGTGGGGTGTTGTTGATCGAGAGTTCTTAATTAATTGTGTGCTTAAGACCATTTTATTTCCGAGGTGCTGACACACCGCTATTTGTGGAGAACCGTGGCTAGAGCCATGGTTCGCTAGCTCGGTGTATATCAGTTTGGTTATTGTCTCCCGCCAGCGTGGATGCGCTGACCCTTCGCCGTTTGTGACGAGCCATGGCTAGAACCATGGTTCGTTACACCCCCCCCCTTTCTGCCGGGTGGGTGATGGAGAGATTAGTGGCGTCGCTTGGCGGGTGCTGAGGATCGCCTTTTTACCGGGTTATCCTGTCCTTGGGCTTTTGCCGAGTCTTTGGATTCGTCGGTGTTAATCTCGTCACTTTAGCGTGGCGTCGGTAACGTTATATTTTCTACTGCTGCTGTGATCATGGCCTTTCTGCTGTTCTGGGTGCTTTGTAGTTGGTGTCTGCTTGGTGGGTCGATTATCCCATATGACGATGGTTTTCTCGGCGGTTTTCTTCGGTAGTTCCTTGTCCAGGAACGTGAAATTATGTAATAAGGTCACTTTTTCATTTTCTTTGCGTACCTTATCCAGGGTTTGGTTTGTAGTTTTTGTTCTTTGCAGCCACAACACTTTTCAAATGGTTTTTATTGGGTTTATGTTCCCTTTTATGGTTTTGCAGAATTTTCACCACGTTTTTCTTTTTATATGTTCTGTACGCACATTAATTAAGTCTTCCAACTTTGAATGCACTTTTGTTCTGTGCAGCATGCACTTAGCCTAACTATTTTACCCCTCCAAAAGCTGGGTATGAGAGAGCTAAGAAGGTTCTCGAAGGGCTAGCCGTAAGCTATGCTTGCGGAGAGAAAAGCTCACATGTGAACGGCGCTCGCACGTGCAATTTCGAAAGAGAGAGCTTTTCAAGATAAAAGCTTCTGATCTTGCATTTGGGCTCTCTATGGAATGCATGTACAGTGGGGAAGGTTCAATATTTTTGCGATAAAATAAGAAGACTGTTCCCAAAAAAAATTCTTAATACAATTTTTGTCCAGACATTCTAAATTTTGTATTTTTGGTCTGCAACCTTCACAACACATAAAATTTATAGATCTTGGCCACGTAACGAGGGGCAATCCGCATCCGGAATGCACAGGGCAATGCTCATCCCGACGAACAGGAATACCTGCACTGTTGCCACCAGGATTTTCTTGAGCATGCCCGACTCTGATTCGTCCACTCGCGGTGCCGCTCTGACCTTCGGTGGCGTTTCCTCTTCCTGGGTGCCGCATGGCACCTGTGGGGAATGGGCAGCGAGGATATGGCTGCCAACAGTAGCTTTTCCACCATCGGCGTCCATTCATTCAGTGCCGCTCTGACCTTTCTGGAAGACTTTGCCCGTCCCCCGGCCAAACGTGTCGTCCACTTCTTGGCCTTGAACCGACGCCCACGGGCACTTGTCGATGGCGGTTCCTCTGTCTGCGTGCCGCATGACACCTGTGGGGGAATGGGCAGCGAGGATATGGCTGCAACCATCGGCGAAGTCCATCCATTGTCGGGAATTCCGTTTTCGGGCATTTTCGTTTCTGTTGGGTGGCCATCGGAGGTCAGGCATGTCACCATCGAGTGCGTCGACTGGGCCGAGAGGCTAGGGGGACTCAGGCAGGACTTCATCGACGGCGTTGCGGTGCGATTGAGGCTCAAGCAGGACCCCATCGACGGCGTTGCGGTAGCATCGGAGCTCAAGCAGGACAACATCGTTGACAGCTCGTTGGCGTTCGAGTAGCGGCCGATAGAGGGCTGCATAGAGGTACTGCTCCAGCTGCAGCTGCTCCAGTTATCGCTGTAGGGCTGCATAGAGGTGAAGCTATCGCATGAAGTCGTCCAGCTGCTCCAGTTATCGCTGGAGTCCACCATCATTTCATCATCACCATCATGTCCATCAGTGTAGTCCGCCGGATTCGGCGATTCCTGAGGATGAGGCGACGCCTTCTTCTTGCTTCTTCTGCTCCAGTTATCGCTGGAGTCCACCATCATTTCATCATCACCATCATGTCCATCAGTGTAGTCCGCCGGATTCGGCGATTCCTGAGGATGAGGCGACGCCTTCTTGTTGGGTACTGGCCAAGCCAGTGGCGTCAATTTCTGCACTTTTTGAGGGGGGGCCTGACCACGGCTGAGTCCTGCGACGCGAGGAAGAATATTCCTCTTTGGCTGGCCAGCGGGTGGATGTGAAGCAGGTGCCGGATAGGGCGCAGCCGCAGCAGATCTGGCTGCTGCCATGGTCGGAGCTGTCCCCAGTTGCGTGACTTCGTCCGAACGTGGATGGAAATTTTGTTGAAACAATTAGATACTTTTAGATACTTAAAATTTGTAAAACGATAGAAATTTTGTTTTACGCTAATACTAAAAATACAAAAATATAAAAACAAGCGTACAGCTCCAAAGTCAGTGCTAGAATGAAATATTGCCCAGCCTCAAATCAAACGATACGAACAGAAAAGTAAATGCTAACTAGATGAAATACTTTTCCAAGCAAGTAAAACACATGCGAACTCTATTGATTTTTGTCGGTTTATGTTTTGGTAGAATTTTTTGTATTTTCTTTCAAATTGAATGCAGCAGAACGCCACACTTCTGACTTCGAAGTCTCAGCAACTTCTAATAGATACGCCTGAAGGTAATCCATTCACTGTATTTCACGCATATGCCTCAGAAAGCAGCACAGAAAAGCTCTAAAACAGCTCATAGAGAGTGTACAATTATCTACCTATAATACCTTTAATACATATATTCAGAACACTCCCCGCTCTGCTCTGCTCTGATCTGATGAGCGGAGGAAAACCTCTGAAAATTAAACTGCTTTTTGCTTGTTCCAGTGGAGGCTTTTATTTTATTTTTTTGGTTTATTGGATTGCATTTCATTTCTTGGCGACTTCTTGGCGGTCTTCTGGTATTTTCTTCTTGTGCTATTTTGCTTTTTTTATACCCGTACTTAAAAAAGAGTTAAGGGGTATATTAGATTCGTGGTAAAAGTGGATGTGTGTAACGCAGAGAAGGAAACGTTTCCGACCCCATAAAGTATATATATTCCTGATCAGCATCAATAGCCGAGTCGATAGAGCCATGTCTGTCTGTCCGTCTGTCTGTCTGTCTGTCCGTCTTGATGAGCGCCTAGATCTCAGAGACTATAAAAGCTAGGGCAACCAAATTTGGTAGTCTGGAAACTCTTGTGATATCACACTGCTACAAGTGTATTTCAAAATTTCGCCCCGCCCCCTTCCGCCCACACAAAGGACGAAAATCTGTGGCAGGCACAGTATTAAAGATACGATAAAACTAAAAACGCAGTATCGTAGAGAATGCCCATACTACTAGATTGCCGAATCTGAATCAGATCGGATCATAATTATAGCCAGAATGAAGAAATTTTCAGTTGCTTCCCCTCCCCCTCCCGATCATGACAACACAACTCATTTTCCTTCTCGCTCGCACACTCTGCCGCGTTCAGTGCGCGAGCAACCCCTAACGGAGGAGAATAGAATAGAATATAGAATATGAATGGAACATGTACAATCTACATGTTAGATGTAGAATATACATTGTATATGTAGATGTAGATATCATATGTAGCATAAAAATGTAAAATGTAAAATTTTTTTTTTTCTAAAATTCTTTAAAATCATAAGCTCAATAATGTATATACTGACTGAGTACGGGTATAAGTAGAGTCGCGTCCCCAGAAGCGACTACACGTTCCTTCTCGTTTTATTTATATTTATTTGCACTTTTATCTCAATTGTTTTATTTACGTTTATTTATATTTACCTATATTTATATTCTTTTATTTTCAAATATGTAGTTGGGTATTATTAATGTTTTAGTTCGTAAATAAATTTTATAATTTTAATTTTATAATAGTAATTTGTATTTGACATCGGCTAATCCCATGCCCTAGAAGAATTGCCCTAAGAAGGGGCCATTCGGATGTGGGCCAGGGGGCAGAATGGCCAACGGTAGGGTGGGCATGTTACGCCTCATCAACACCTGAGGTCGAGTAGGAGAACCAGCAGGTGCAGCGGAATAGTTCCATTCCCTTTAGTATGTTTGTTGGTTGGGAAGTAAGTGGGATTCTCTATTCCGGTTTTCGCTTGTTCCTAGCAGGCAACTTATTTAGAATATTATAGTGAAGAAAGGCCAATCATGGGAGTGGAGCAAGACCACCACCCTCCTAGCCGACGAGCCTGAGCCGGAATATACAGCGTTCTCCTCTCTCTCCCATGCCCAACACCGCGCCTGAGAATAATGAGTTGGAATGCATTTGTTACAGTAGGCAGAGGGTGTAGTCCATTTCCGATTCCCTAGCCCACTAATTTGCTTACAATGATGAGGCACGCACCATTGACGGCCTTGTCACCAAGCTGCCCATAAGCAGCCCTTCAAGCGAGCAGCCGCCTCGCGCCGTACAGGTCGAATATACTGATCTTCGCAGCAGCGTCGATGAGCCCCTCATCCCGGGCATGCCACTCCGCTCGGGAAAAAAGCTAGGGACGGGAAAGGTGCGCACTCGTTCAGCCCCACGCACCATTGACGGACCAATTGAAGGAACCAGTAACGGACAAACTGGCGGAACCAGTAACGGACAAACTGAAGGACCCCTAATCGTGTAAGCCTCGCTCCCCGAGGCTGAGCAGGAGAACTGCGATGGTGAAACCCAAACCGACACAGTCACCGGGGCTGACTTATCTCCAAATTAAATTTTGTGTTCATTAGTTATAATTTACAATCAATATAAATAAAATTTACAATGTAATCCATGTAGCACATGGAACACCATTAATTCCGTTAAAAAAACGAATCAACAAGAAGGAAGAGGGCCGGGTGAGAGCGAAACAATATTTTGAATATTTCAAAAATAAATAAAATGAATAATTGTGTAAATAATAAAGAATAATAAGATTGTGAGGTCCTATTTCAGGCTGAGGTAAGCATCAGCCTGTCCAGGGTCCTCTACAAGACAATTTGTAGATCGCAGGTGACTTTCAGGTTCGGAGCGGCCTTGTCTGACCGAAAGAGGAGGAGGACACAGGAGGAGCGTTTTGTTGCTGACAAAAATACTTCAAGAAGATCGTGGTTTTTGGTTTTGCTGGTGTTTATTATTTTTATTACTTAATTCTTTGTGGGTTTGTGTACGATGGATTACTTGCGGATCTTGTTACTTTGCCTTGGAGCCGTTGGACTGGGGGTGCAGTGTCTTGTGTTTTGGCTGAGGGACTGCCTAGTGCAGTGTCTTGGGTGTGTGACTGAGGGACTGCGTAGTACAGTGTCTTGGGTGTGTGACTGAGGGACTGCCTTGTGCAGTGTCTTGGGTGTTTTTTTTTTTTTTCCATGGATACGCCATGGTGGGTGAGAATCTTTTGGTAAGACGCGTCTGGCCCGTGCCAAACAACGAACTGGACTACCCCTCCGGGGCTTCCCAGCTAAACTCACCACACACACGCAGCTACACCACTGCACCCCGCGGTATCACCGTTAGGTATTGCTTCGCGGGGGCGGGTTGCCTACATTAGGGCACTCTCCTGTTCCTTCCTTAACCTCTCGCATTTTCTCAGGTCAATCATTACCTCTGTTATCTGTGTACACGTCCGCTTCCAGGCCTCCTCGCTTTCCAGCATATGACCGATAACTTCATCGGGAGGCGGAATCGTCCTGCACATTTCCAGGTATCTACGGCATTGGTACACTGCATGCTCCGAGCTTTCTCGTTGCTCGTCGCACTCCGGGCATATAGGTGATGGTTCGTGCTTGAACCTGTAAGGGTAACCCTAGAGCATCCATGTCCTGTTAGGAATTGCGTAACGTAGTAGTTTGTGTGTCCATTCTTCCGTCCTATCCATAACTCCAGCTAGGTATAAGCCTGTGGGTCCATCTACCTTTCGTCGAGGCGTCCCATCTCTCCTGCCATGTCTGAATCGATCGCGTTCTTTCGGATCTGACTCCTGCAGTAGTCCCGCTCTCTCCTGCTTTCCTTCGGATGTATGCCGCCTCCAACTCTTTGGCCAGTATATCCACCGGAATCATACCTGCCAGTACCAGCGCAGCGTCGTCTGAGACTGCTTCGGAATCCTGATATGACTCGCAGTGCGCTAAGTCGATAGACCGAAGCCATCTTGCGCCGGAGCTGCACATTTCTCAACGCAGCACTCCAGACTGGCGCCGCATACATAAGGACAGAGGTAACTACCCTGGAAAGGAGTAGCCGACTTCCAGCCCTGGGTCCGCCAATGTTGGGCATCATACGCGCTAGGGCCATCTGCAATCGTGCCGCCTTCCTGCTAGCGTGCTCTATGTGGCTCCTAAAGCTCAACCGGTTATCAAGGATGACTTCGAAGGTATTTGAGGCATGGAGCTGATACAATGCACTCGTTTCCTACCTGTAGTGTCATAAACTCCATGGTCTTCCTGCTGGATATAAGGACAGCTTCAGTTTTATGTCCTGCCAGATCCAGTCCTGCGCTCTCGAGCCACTCTCCTATTGTCTGGATAGCGCTATTTGCTGCCACCTCAGCTTCACGTACGTGCTTAGCCACGACGACTAGCGCTAGGTCATCAGCGAAGCCTACAAGCGTGCACCCTGGAGGAAGCCTGATCCGGAGGACTTCGTCGTACATCAGGTTCCATAATAGCGGGCCAAGTACTGACCCCTGTGGGACACCTGCTGTGACTGGGTACCGCCTCGTTCCGTCGTCCGTGTCGTACAGGAGTACTCTATCTGATAGGTAGCTTGCTACTATCCGCACAAGATAGCTCGGGAGATCGGCCTTTTCCAGGGATGTCAGGATTGTGCTCCAGCGCGCAGTGTTAAACGCGTTTCTCACGTCCAGAGTTACCACGGCACAATACTCTTTTTCTCCCCATCTCCATCGTTTTCCCTCAATTGCCTTCGCTGCTATGCTCGTGACCAGCGTCACTGCGTCAACAGTCGAACGGGATTACGGAAGCCATACTGCGCGTCCGAGAGTGCTCCCCTTTCCTCCGATGACACCAATAGGCGATTGTATATGACCTTCTCGAATATTTTGCCCACTGCATCTAGAAGGCAGATTGGTCGATATGCAGGAGGGGTCGTCTGCCGGCTTGTCTCCCTTCGGCAGTAGAATGAGCTTCTGCTGCTTCCAAGGCTTTGGAAAGATTCCTTCCACGAGGCATTGAGTAAATAACTCCATGAAAGGGGTGGGAGCGACGTTGATCGCCAGTTTGAGGGCTCTATTGGGCACGCCATCGGGCCCTGGCGTCTTTGTGTCTCCCATTCCTCTGCACGCTGTTTGGACTTCAACCAGGGTAACAGGCGGTACGTTTCCCGTTGTTGCCGAGTATGTCCTCCGATCCGTAGGGTACCGCGGGAACAGTGCCTCGATGATCCTGATTAATGTCGTGGGACACGTTATCCTTGGCGTGAACTGGCTACGCAGTCTCTTGGTGACCACTCTATAGGCGGTGCCCCGAGGATTGACATCTGCCTCCTCGCATATTTGGCTGAAGCTGCTGGCTTTACTGCGCTTGATCCCCATCTTCAGTTCCTTCTTGGCCATCCGGAACTCGTCGAGCCTTGCTTGAAAAACTGGGCGCCCCCTTGTTCTTTGGGAACGTCTTCTAGCATGAAGACACGCTTTCCTAAGCTCGCTTATCTGGTCATTCCACCAGTAACATGGGGCGACCCGATTGCTTGCTCTCCTTCGTGGCATAGATGCGTCACACGCCGCTGCAATCCTCCGTTGTAGCTCGGTTGTCCTCTCCTCCGCCGATCCCTGCATCCAGTATGGTTGGTTGAAAGTTTCCGTGAATGCTTCCACATCCAAACCTTCCGCCTTCCATTTTGGACCGGTTGTTTTCGGCCTGACCTTGTTTTTCCGGTTGTTGAGGTCGAAGAGTATCGCCTGGTGGTCGCTGAAAGTGAATTCTTCACTGACTGTCCATGTAGCTTCGCGAAGTAGGGACACGCTTAGGAGGGTGATGTCGATAAACGATCCCCGACCCGCCTTTCTAAATGTCTGCTTCCTGCCATCGTTAGCTATACCTACGTTGAGAGGGCCGAATGCCTCTAGGAGGCAGTATCCTCTCGCATTTGTCTCGCGGCTGCCCCATTCAACGGCCCACGCATTAAAATCTCCTGCTATGACCGTTGGCGACCGATTCTGAGCGTCCGAGGCTATCTCCACCACCATACTCTGGAACTCGTGCAGGCTCCAGCTTGGGGGTGCGTAACAGCTATAGCTATATATAGCTATAGTGTCTTGGGTGTGTGACTGAGGGACTGTGTAGTACAGTGTCTTGGGTGTGTGACTGAGGGACTGCGTAGCACAGTGTCTTGTATTCGGGCTGATGGACTGCCTACTCTTTCAGCCGATCTTGGCCCTTTTATGCAGCTGGCGATAGCACCTGAGACCCGGAAATAATTAATTCTTGCTGACTTAAGGTTATTGGATAACAATAATTGTGGAGCGCGGTAAGTGGGTTCGAAGCTTTGTGCTTCGTTGACAATTGTTAGTGGGTCAGGGTGGTTTTGCTGAGGCTGCATCCCGGAAGGTGCGGGCTGCAGTTGGGTAAGGTGATATCTGAATTTGGGTCGGTAGGTCGATAATTTTATGCTAGCTTGACCTATTGTGAAATAACGCCAATGATATCTCTCATTGCGAAATTGTGTCGGCTTGGCTTATTGTAGGCTGCTGATTTCACAATTGTCTCAAGAGGTGGGGTGTTGTTGATCGAGAGTTCTTAATTAATTGTGTGCTTAAGACCATTTTATTTCCGAGGTGCTGACACACCGCTATTTGTGGAGAACCGTGGCTAGAGCCATGGTTCGCTAGCTCGGTGTATATCAGTTTGGTTATTGTCTCCCGCCAGCGTGGATGCGCTGACCCTTCGCCGTTTGTGACGAGCCATGGCTAGAACCATGGTTCGTTACACCCCCCCTTTCTGCCGGGTGGGTGATGGAGAGATTAGTGGCGTCGCTTGGCGGGTGCTGAGGATCGCCTTTTTACCGGGTTATCCTGTCCTTGGGCTTTTGCCGAGTCTTTGGATTCGTCGGTGTTAATCTCGTCACTTTAGCGTGGCGTCGGTAACGTTATATTTTCTACTGCTGCTGTGATCATGGCCTTTCTGCTGTTCTGGGTGCTTTGTAGTTGGTGTCTGCTTGGTGGGTCGATTATCCCATATGACGATGGTTTTCTCGGCGGTTTTCTTCGGTAGTTCCTTGTCCAGGAACGTGAAATTATGTAATAAGGTCACTTTTTCATTTTCTTTGCGTACCTTATCCAGGGTTTGGTTTGTAGTTTTTGTTCTTTGCAGCCACAACACTTTTCAAATGGTTTTTATTGGGTTTATGTTCCCTTTTATGGTTTTGCAGAATTTTCACCACGTTTTCTTTTTATATGTTCTGTACGCACATTAATTAAGTCTTCCAACTTTGAATGCACTTTTGTTCTGTGCAGCATGCACTTAGCCTAACTATTTTACCCCTCCAAAAGCTGGGTATGAGAGAGCTAAGAAGGTTCTCGAAGGGCTAGCCGTAAGCTATGCTTGCGGAGAGAAAAGCTCACATGTGAACGGCGCTCGCACGTGCAATTTCGAAAGAGAGAGCTTTTCAAGATAAAAGCTTCTGATCTTGCATTTGGGCTCTCTATGGAATGCATGTACAAAGGGGAAGGTTCAATATTTTTGCGATAAAATAAGAAGACTGTTCCCAAAAAAAATTCTTAATACAATTTTTGTCCAGACATTCTAAATTTTGTATTTTTGGTCTGCAACCTTCACAACACATAAAATTTATAGATCTTGGCCACGTAACGAGGGGCAATCCGCATCCGGAATGCACAGGGCAATGCTCATCCCGACGAACAGGAATACCTGCACTGTTGCCACCAGGATTTTCTTGAGCATGCCCGACTCTGATTCGTCCACTCGCGGTGCCGCTCTGACCTTCGGTGGCGTTTCCTCTTCCTGGGTGCCGCATGGCACCTGTGGGGGAATGGGCAGCGAGGATATGGCTGCCAACAGTAGCTTTTCCACCATCGGCGTCCATTCATTCAGTGCCGCTCTGACCTTTCTGGAAGACTTTGCCCGTCCCCGGCCAAACGTGTCGTCCACTTCTTGTCCTTGAACCGACGCCCACGGGCACTTGTCGATGGCGGTTCCTCTGTCTGCGTGCCGCATGACACCTGTGGGGAATGGGCAGCGAGGATATGGCTGCAACCATCGGCGAAGTCCATCCATTGTCGGGAATTCCGTTTTCGGGCATTTTCGTTTCTGTTGGGTGGCCATCGGAGGTCAGGCATGTCACCATCGAGTGCGTCGACTGGGCCGAGAGGCTAGGGGGACTCAGGCAGGACTTCATCGACGGCGTTGCGGTGCGATTGAGGCTCAAGCAGGACCCCATCGACGGCGTTGCGGTAGCATCGGAGCTCAAGCAGGACAACATCGTTGACAGCTCGTTGGCGTTCGAGTAGCGGCCGATAGAGGGCTGCATAGAGGTACTGCTCCAGCTGCAGCTGCTCCAGTTATCGCTGTAGGGCTGCATAGAGGTGAAGCTATCGCATGAAGTCGTCCAGCTGCTCCAGTTATCGCTGGAGTCCACCATCATTTCATCATCACCATCATGTCCATCAGTGTAGTCCGCCGGATTCGGCGATTCCTGAGGATGAGGCGACGCCTTCTTCTTGCTTCTTCTGCTCCAGTTATCGCTGGAGTCCACCATCATTTCATCATCACCATCATGTCCATCAGTGTAGTCCGCCGGATTCGGCGATTCCTGAGGATGAGGCGACGCCTTCTTGTTGGGTACTGGCCAAGCCAGTGGCGTCAATTTCTGCACTTTTTGAGGGGGGGCCTGACCACGGCTGAGTCCTGCGACGCGAGGAAGAATATTCCTCTTTGGCTGGCCAGCGGGTGGATGTGAAGCAGGTGCCGGATAGGGCGCAGCCGCAGCAGATCTGGCTGCTGCCATGGTCGGAGCTGTCCCCAGTTGCGTGACTTCGTCCGAACGTGGATGGAAATTTTGTTGAAACAATTAGATACTTTTAGATACTTAAAATTTGTAAAACGATAGAAATTTTGTTTTACGCTAATACTAAAAATACAAAAATATAAAAACAAGCGTACAGCTCCAAAGTCAGTGCTAGAATGAAATATTGCCCAGCCTCAAATCAAACGATACGAACAGAAAAGTAAATGCTAACTAGATGAAATACTTTTCCAAGCAAGTAAAACACATGCGAACTCTATTGATTTTTGTCGGTTTATGTTTTGGTAGAATTTTTTTTATTTTCTTTCAAATTGAATGCAGCAGAACGCCACACTTCTGACTTCGAAGTCTCAGCAACTTCTAATAGATACGCCTGAAGGTAATCCATTCACTGTATTTCACGCATATGCCTCAGAAAGCAGCACAGAAAAGCTCTAAAACAGCTCATAGAGAGTGTACAATTATCTACCTATAATACATTTAATACATATATTCAGAACACTCCCCGCTCTGCTCTGCTCTGATCTGATGAGCGGAGGAAAACCTCTGAAAATTAAACTGCTTTTTGCTTGTTCCAGTGGAGGCTTTTATTTTATTTTTTTGGTTTATTGGATTGCATTTCATTTCTTGGCGACTTCTTGGCGGTCTTCTGGTATTTTCTTCTTGTGCTATTTTGCTTTTTTTATACCCGTACTTAAAAAAGAGTTAAGGGGTATATTAGATTCGTGGTAAAAGTGGATGTGTGTAACGCAGAGAAGGAAACGTTTCCGACCCCATAAAGTATATATATTCCTGATCAGCATCAATAGCCGAGTCGATAGAGCCATGTCTGTCTGTCCGTCTGTCTGTCTGTCTGTCCGTCTTGATGAGCGCCTAGATCTCAGAGACTATAAAAGCTAGGGCAACCAAATTTGGTAGTCTGGAAACTCTTGTGATATCACACTGCTACAAGTGTATTTCAAAATTTCGCCCCGCCCCCTTCCGCCCACACAAAGGACGAAAATCTGTGGCAGGCACAGTTTTAAAGATACGATAAAACTAAAAACGCAGTATCGTAGAGAATGCCCATATCTACTAGATTGCCGAATCTGAATCAGATCGGATCATAATTATAGCCAGAATGAAGAAATTTTCAGTTGCTTCCCCTCCCCCTCCCGATCATGACAACACAACTCATTTTCCTTCTCGCTCGCACACTCTGCCGCGTTCAGTGCGCGAGCAACCCCTAACGGAGGAGAATAGAATAGAATATAGAATATGAATGGAACATGTACAATCTACATGTTAGATGTAGAATATACATTGTATATGTAGATGTAGATATCATATGTAGCAAAAAAATGTAAAATGTAAAATTTTTTTTTTTCTAAAATTCTTTAAAATCATAAGCTCAATAATGTATATACTGACTGAGTACGGGTATAAAGTAGAGTCGCGTCCCCAGAAGCGACTCACACGTTCCTTCTCGTTTTATTTATATTTATTTGCACTTTTATCTCAATTGTTTTATTTACGTTTATTTATATTTACCTATATTTATATTCTTTTATTTTCAAATATGTAGTTGGGTATTATTAATGTTTTAGTTCGTAAATAAATTTTATAATTTTAATTTTATAATAGTAATTTGTATTTGACATCGTAATCCGATGCCTAGAAGCTAGAATAGAAGCCCGCTTATGTTCAGGGCTCATGCATTTCGAACCCCACTAAAAATTTTTGCTCTCCCTCCAAACACCCCCCCCTTTTTTTTAAATTGGGTCCGCTTCGGCCCCTTAACCCAATTTCCCCCCCCCCCCCCCCTCCTCTTTTACAGCAAATTTCTACGCTCGAGTATAATTAGCTCACTGGAGATTGACACACCCCCATCCTTGAACAACTATATTGAGGAAAACGCTCATCGATCAAACACAGCTATTTTATAGCTAGTTCTGGCTAGTTTTAAAGTTCGACTTAAAGCTCAAATTTTAAAAGCTTTTTTTCATGTTGGACCACAGAACAACTTCCTTTCCTCTAAAAAGTTCACAGCACTGACTGCTGACCAAATGTACGCGGGAAGAAAGAAAAGCGAATGCTAGCATTGCGGATTTAAATCATTTAAAACTAGAATAATGTAGTTTGTAGTAAGTACATTCGCACTACTCCACACCACCATTACCCCCTTCTAGAGGGTATCAAGAGCTATGCAAATATTATGTGATAAGTGACAGAGCTACGGAGAGCTACAAGTGCCAGGCCGAGGGCGTTTGTGGCACATAATTAATGAAGAGGCAGTGGCTCAACAGTTTACAAATGGCCAGTGTTGCCCCCGTGTGCTGCACCTTGGCAGTGATTGCAGGTGCAGCTGCCTTCTCAAGATCTATGGCTTTGTGCTGAGCCGAGAGCTTCAGATGCTTATGCTGAACCAGGTTCCGGGTGCAGCAGCTTGACTCGGTTGGATTTTGGGCCATAGTAAATGCTATATAAGCGCTGTTCTGGGCCGGAATAGAGCATCAGTTTCGGTGGAGTCAAGCTTCCAGCAGCAATCCGACACAGAGTTCCTTTTTATCAGTTCATCATGCGGTACGCCCTACTCGTTGTGTTCCTGTGCGGACTCCCCTTCGCCTTTGTCTCGGCCGGCGATTCCGGAGGCAGGGGTGTTAACCGGGGGTGTTCTTAACCGTTTCGTTGTTCGATGATTTGAGAGTACAATTCTAACTCTTGCTTTGGTTTTAAGCAATGCCACGCGGCATGCGCGCAAACGAGCCCACGCTGAACCGCTTACCACACGCTAAATGCTACCCGATACACAGCTTACCCGCATATACCCGCTATCCGCTATCCGTAGCTTACACAGCTTACCCGATACAAAAGTTGTGTTCTTCACACTACGAACGGGTAAAGGTAAATGCGAGTCCTCTTAAATATTAAGCAAATGGTTATTCAAATAAAAAATAAACGGTTATGGTTTCGAACACACACACACACGTACATATTACATATGCTCATAGACACACTTGCTGTACATAAATAAATGCTTGAATAAACTTAATACATACAAATATATAATATTACAATTTATATAGATATATTTTGTGTCGGCCATCACCGCCGATTCAATACACTGTAACGGACACGGGAAGTGTCGTCTCGTCAGCACTCTCTGTCTACTAAAGGTTGGCCGGCTAGGCTCAGGGAAAATGGGGTGGGTGTTGTGCTGCGAAAACGAACTCCGTCACCTAACAAAATCGTAGACAGATTTACGGGAACTGGGATCGGAATTACAAACCCGGACGGAACTTAAGGTCCACTACCTACTGTGAAGAGCAAGGTGGTTGTGCTCTTCCCTCTTGACCCACCCTCCATGTAGAATAACATAAGAATATGCCATTATGGTTCTACCCAAAACCTTCTGCTGCTGCGCTATGTGCCTTAGGAACCCCTCCCAAAAATCAGATTAGAAATTCATGTTAATCGTTATAATTTTACTTTGACTTGTATGACTTCATGTTGTTTGTAACCCCCATTATTTCTACCCTAACCCTTAAAACTATTTTTACTGCATGGGTATATATATGTGGGACTAATTTAAGACATAGGAATTCAAGAGAATGATCAAATATGAATAAAAATAATATAATCAAAATATAAAGTAAGAATGAATTAATTAAAGGAATTAAATGGCATAATTGTAGTGATTGTAGTTAATAATAATTCATTTTATATATGGTTAAGCATGCATGTCTCACTGTGTAGACGCTATTCTCCTGACCCGGAGTGTATGTGTATATATGTGTGTCTACTTACAGACTTTTAAACAGCTGCTGGTGTCGTTGGGCCCAATTTCACGTTTGCAATAAAAACTGTTAAAGAAATGTAGGAATATGCAAAATAACAAGAAGCGTTATGAAGAGGTATTTTACCAATACCCTTCCATGGACACAATGAGACCGATGATGCACCTTTTAAAATCTATTCCTAACTAGGCATAAATTTCATTTTTTTTTTCTTCTATTTCTAAGTTAACGTCTAGGAATATCTAATATTATTAAACAATTTTCTTTTCTATTTTTTTCTTCGATCCATAACTTTTCATTAAATTTTCTTTTCTAGATTTTGTGATTTATTTTTCTTCCCTTAAGTGGCTTTTAGAATGTCGGCATCGAACAATTTTAATAACCTGAGAGAAGGAGAGAATAGGTGACATACGGTCAGGTGGGTCTAGTTAAATGCGCATAGGTGTATGGTCAGCCGCAAGGGCAATGACCGCTGAGCTAATTTTTCCACACCCTACATGTGCAAGCACCAACATTTTCTTTACACAAGGCGCGGTGATATAATATTTTAGATGGTTTTATATTGTCGTTGTTGTTGAGCGGCTTAATTGCGCGTGAGTATAAACGGCTCGGTTCCGATCGCCAAGTCCATCCGTTTCTATGCCTGCAGGCAAGGTCCGGTGGCACCAAGAAGAAGGACTGATGATCGTCATGAAGCGGACCCCCCCTCCTTGAGGGGTGGTCAGGCCAGGTCAGCAATTTTCTGCCACACGTGGATCATAACCTATGTACAGTACATACGTGAAATTATGTAATAAGGTCACTTTTTCATTTTCTTTGCGTACCTTATCCAGGGTTTGGTTTGTAGTTTTTGTTCTTTGCAGCCACAACACTTTTCAAATGGTTTTTATTGGGTTTATGTTCCCTTTTATGGTTTTGCAGAATTTTCACCACGTTTTTCTTTTTATATGTTCTGTACGCACATTAATTAAGTCTTCCAACTTTGAATGCACTTTTGTTCTGTGCAGCATGCACTTAGCCTAACTATTTTACCCCTCCAAAAGCTGGGTATGAGAGAGCTAAGAAGGTTCTCGAAGGGCTAGCCGTAAGCTATGCTTGCGGAGAGAAAAGCTCACATGTGAACGGCGCTCGCACGTGCAATTTCGAAGAGAGAGCTTTTCAAGATAAAAGCTTCTGATCTTGCATTTGGGCTCTCTATGGAATGCATGTACAGTGGGGAAGGTTCAATATTTTTGCGATAAAATAAGAAGACTGTTCCCAAAAAAAATTCTTAATACAATTTTTGTCCAGACATTCTAAATTTTGTATTTTTGGTCTGCAACCTTCACAACACATAAAATTTATAGATCTTGGCCACGTAACGAGGGGCAATCCGCATCCGGAATGCACA